CAGATACAGGAATCAATGTACACCTTCCACCTACCTTTCTCTCTATAGATAGTTAAAAGTTAGGTGTCCCTGAGATCTCAGGTGTCTGGCCATGTGATCCTGGTATCCCACGTTCATGTTTGTACCCAGGATCAGCCAAAAGCTCGTTCATGTCCTGTTTCCCCATCTGGGTCTCTCACTGTGCTAAGGACCACTGTGGTGTAGCCTGCAGTATACTCAGCCTCATCCTCAGGCTGGGCCCCTGAGGGGTCAGGGCAGGTTTTCTCCCAGGAGGGAGCCTGAGACTCAAGTGGGCATCCAGGGGTGTTTGTTATTTGTGTTATACATCAGTGTCCTGAGGGCTTGGTCAGGATCCGGTATGGATCCAGTGTGGTTAGTGACCTTTGGTGACAGCCATGGTGCAGGAGCCACACATGAGAATGACTGTCTTTCTTTGGGACACAGTCAGTGAGGGCTCCTGAGTCACCACAGCCTGAGAACTGAACCAAGAAACAAAAACAGGTACATGTTAGGAATGAGGAAGAGAAGCAGAGGGATCCCTCCAAAGGCCTGTCTGAAATCTCCATGAACCCGGGCAGAGAGTGAGGAGAAAGCGGAGGTGGAGGAGAAGCATCCAGGCCATGGTGTGGACTTTCCAAAGATCCCCAGGACCCTCAGCCACTGCTGGACTCTTGGACTGTTCCTCTAACTCTTCATCAGTTCCCTGGGTGAAGATGTGTGATTGGATGAGGCATTACGCAAATATGGATTCTTTACCAAAACCACCAGCTCCATGGGTTCTGAGTGCTCAGCCAGGGAGCAGTCGCTCTGTCGGGGAGTCTGGGCTGTTGGGAGCTCTGAATTTGCCCTTTGGTAGAAAGCACCTGCCCTAACCCCCAACTCAGGCCAGTGACTATGGGCCCAGGAGCCATAAATGAGAACCCTGGGAGTTCATTTCCGGCCTTGCTCACCTCTGAGAAGATCCACGGCGCCCCCTGCTGGGCTGAGGTGACTATTGTTTGTACCTCTCTACGGTAAATAATTTCTCTAATGCTTGAATTTTAATTTCACTGTTACCTGTTCCAGAGTCCCTCCAAACTATTGTTTCTAATTCCATTTATTGCATTTTTCAGTTCTCTAATTTTAATTTGGTTTGTTTTTATGACTTCTTTTTCTTTTCTGGGATTTGCTTCTCTTCCACTCGTTTCAAGAATGTTCCTTGTGACCCAAGTTAACCTATGGGTCACATAGGTAACATACCTGCACATGTACCCCTGAGCCTAAAATAAAACTTCAAAAAATAATGTCTATAATTGCTCACTGAAGGGACTGTGTAATTGCTGCTTAAGTAATCTCAGTTACATAACGTCAGCTCCTATATTGTTTCAGTACTGGTGTCCGTCAATTGTCTTTTCTTATTTAAGTTGTGTTCTTCTGGTTCTTCACATGGAAAGTTAATTTTTTACTGTATCCTACGTATTCTGGATATTATATTATAAGACTTTCTAGAGTTTTGTCAATAGATCTGAAATAGTACTTGCTTTTGTTTTATTGGGCTTTTTCCTTTTTTTTTTACTTTGTCAGTATCAGGAGAAATGAGATAATTTTCCTTTGTATGTATTTAATTTCAAATTCAAATATTTTAATTTCAGATTAAAATATTGGAAATGAATTATCCTGTAGCCTGCTTTCCATCTGCTTAAATGTTTCTGAAGCTTCATATCTCTGTCTCCTCTACCTTAGTCTTTTTAATTGAAGTTCACCAAATATGCCACAGTGTTACCTATCACTTAAGTAGGAGGAAGTGCACCTTTAATCCAAAATGACTGCCATGGTTGATAGAAAAAGTGCTTGTGGTGATCCACTGGGGGCCTGAAGAACAAATGACCTGAGTCTACAGTAGCTGGAAACCAGCCTTCAGAAACAAAAAATGTGTGTTGGAAGCACAGGACTGAGGCTTGATCCAAGGTGTTAAAGTCTAGCTTCCCACTTGTATTTGTCCGTGTACTGACGTTGCAGATGCCACCAAGCATGTAAAACTGGGCCTCATTTTGTTCTGCCCCCATTATAATCAGGGTGACTTTTTCTTTATGCAGGGAACCCAGGGGTCCCAGGACCTGATTGCTTGTGTCCACCATTGACCCCGAAGACAGTCACAGATGTTCTATTGGACCCAGCTGTCATGACCATAGGTGAATGTCACTGTCCCTCTAGGAGGTGTGGACAGTGAAAGTTCCTGTGTCACCACAACCTGGGAAGTGACTCCTGAACCCAGAGAAAGAAAAAAGGTATCATCAGGATAGGAGACAAAACCCTAGAGAATATAGACACCTAGTAGTTTCTAAGTAATTTTTTTTAACTATTAAAAAAATCATTGAGCAAATAAAGCAAAAACATACAAATATCTACCTTCCTAATTTGTGAGTTAAAAACAAAATAAAATATGATTTCAAAGTTTTCTATTTCTTTGGACTATAGTCACCATCCGAATTCTCAGTCAGAAACATGAGAGTCAGCCTAGAAGCATCGATATCGTTCATGCACAAAGTCCAAGCCCTCTTCATGTCTAATGTATCCTGTGACATAAAGACATCACAAAGCTGCTTTCTGCTCTTCATCTCCACTCTAACTAACCTAGACCCATGCACCACCATCTCGCCAGGATGGCACCAGCACCCCCAGCCTCTTTCCCTGTTCCGGATCTTCTCCATTTCATTCTCATTGCAGCTGGAGAGTCACTGACCAAAGGCCCATGTGAGCTTGTCCCTGCCACCTCTCAGTCCTTCAGTGACTCTGTGTGCCTTTCTCAGGGGTCATCGTGCTGATCTGCCTCAACCTACCTCTCAAGCTCACAGTCTCCCTTCAAGGAGCTCCTCCTGGCCCTTTCCCTGATCCAGTGACCTTAGGCTCAGGTCAAAGTCACTTTTCTCATTGACTGGAATGACCAACGTCTCCCCTGTAGATTCTCACTTCTGATGAGATGTTCCGACCCTCCCCCTCCACCTACCTCACTCCTGCTCATTCTGAAAGTCTCACATGAGACTCCACTCCTGTGGATTAGCCCTGTTTGGCCAAATTCCCACCCACCCTCACTCCCACACCCACAGGAACCCTCCCCGACATCGGTCTCCTGTTCTTTATCTCTTCCCTCTCAGCTCCTGTTCAGTGACCGATGACAGCATGCAAAGACAGAGTCATCAAGGCACAGTTGTTAAAGCTTTGGTTTTTGTTTTTAGTTAGGAAAATATTTATAATTCTGCCAGATGAAAACTCACTCATACAACATCTTGGGCCTCTAAAGCTTGGCTACACCAAAACCCTCCTACTCAGGACAGCCCACAGCGCCATCTGCTGGGCCCACAGCCACAATCCCTCCAGGGCCTGTGACCCACCTGAGGAACGTGGGTGCTGAGCACCTTGGATCACCCTGGTTAGGGGTCCTGGAATATTGGGCCACACAGAAACGGAAGACACCCTTCTATCTTCTCCAGGAGGGACTTCATAGGTGCCTTGGGATTACTTGGTTTGGAAGAATCAGGGTTCTTGAAGTGATAAGAAAGATTTCACAACAAATGTAAGTTACTTAAACAGAACGGCTCATTTGACTCTTTGGGAAGAGGTTAAGGCTTGAGGTAAAAGGCACTTGAACCTAAATGTGCACCCAAACCACTGGCTCTTTAGAAGCTGACAATGTGCCATGAAAAGGACAGAGGAGTCCAGGTGGGAACAGGACATTCCCCACTAGAGTCCACCTCACCCTTCATGCACAACTTTCTCAAACACCTCGGAATTCCCAACGTGGTGCACTTTTGGGGTCACCTTTTCTGACAGCTGCCCACCTTGCCCATATATTTAGGCCTGAATAGTGGCCAGCAGGAGGCTATTTTGCGGGTGGAGCTTGCATTTGTGGTCAAGTTCTCATGTACTTGCTGCCCTCACAAACCCCAGCCTACTCCAGCCTCCAGGGCTTTGCACCTGCTGTTCCCTCTGCCTGGGATGTCCCCACCCCTCCCATCCCAGCTCAGCTCACTCCACCGTTTCTCTCCATAGGTTTTATTTTCATTTCTTTGTTTTCACGTAGAAATCAACAAATATACGTATTATGCATTCGTATTTCCCCTGTGTGGGTTGTCGATTTCTTTCATTTGGGTTAGTTTGTTGTGATGGCGGTTGTTGCCCATTTGCAAATGTTTCCTATGAATCCTCGGTGACACCTTTTCACAGGGTAACTGTGATTTCCTATTCTGTTACCTCTCTGATAAATTGTCCACAAATTTCTTCCCTATGTGTTCATTAATATTTATTAGTCTGACATTTTTCTGTAATTTTTACAGTTTGTTTAAACATAAACCCCTACTTTTGGTTTAAAAACTATGATATACATACTTTTAGAATCCAATAATTATTTTTCTCTTCAGCTCTTTTTAAATTATACTTTGTTTTCATAGCAGTTTTAGGTGTAAAGAAAAAACTGAGCAGTAGGTACAGAGCTCCCATACATTTCCCCCATCCCACCCTTCCAGAGACTCCCTGTTTTCACATAATGCATCCATTTGTACACTTGATAAAATTGTGTAATCCAGTATTAATAGATAAATGTTGACAATTTATCATTAACCATGGCTTTTAGCTTATGTTGAGGCTCACTCTCTGTGCTGCACAGTCCTATGCTTTCTGCGTCCTGTGGCTCAGGCTGGTCTCAAACTCCTGACCTTAAGGGATCTGACCTCCTTGGTCTCCCAAAGTGCTGGAATTACAGGCATGAGCCACTGCTCCCAGCCAATTTTTTAATCCCTAATCAAATAATTTTTGTCTCTGAAAACATGATGATAAAGTATATAATAGCAATCTAAAAGCTGAACTGAATAAAAAGTTAGAACATTTTGAGATCTACTGGTTTGAAGAAAATTAGGTGTTGGTTGAAGATGTGACAACAAAAGTCACCTCGTGACCTCGGCTTCATCAGAGCCACCAGCAGGGTGAAGGTACCAGGTTGGGAGAGTGGAGAGAAGGTTTTTTTCTCACTTCCCTGTGGGTCTGGAGCGCTGTGTAAGCATTAGCGCTGTCATGCCATATCTTACAATAATAGTCAGCCTCATCCTCAGGCTGCAGCCAGAGAAGTGTAGAATCCCTGAGTTAGTTGAGGCATCTTTGGATCCAGAGAAGCGGCCGGGGACTCCAGAGCCCTGGTGCTTACTTGACTCTGAGTAGTAGCTCAGGAGATACCGGGGATTGCTCCCTGGCTTCTGCTGGTACCAGTATACAGTTTTCCCACCAACACCGATGCCACTGCTCAGGGTGCAGGTGAGTCTGGCTGATGCTTCCAGGGATGCAGAGAGGGAGGGTGGCTGAGTCCGCACAGACTGGGAGAAGGAACCTGCAAACACAGACACACTTTGATGATGGAGCTGTTAAGTGTTAAGCTCCCTGGGACTCAAAGCCAGAGATGCTGACACAGGCTGGGGGCTGCCCTAGGTCCCGGAAAACTGGCTCATCTGTGCAGTGGGAGAGAAGCACAAGGAGAAGAGATGTCCAGACCATGGTGGACACAGTTGACACGCCAGTCTCAGCTCTGTCACCTGAGGCTGCTTTTATCTTCTTCACTGGCCTGACAGAGGAGGGGCTGTTCCCACACATTTGTTTGTCTTCCTGGTGACCTCGGCCCCACCCCGAGAAGCAACTGCAGTATGAGCTTGCTTCTTGGTATGGAAAGGACTAACGTGTAAGACTCAGACTTGGCCCCATGGGAAGGACCAGGGAGGAAGCAGCTGCTGGGACCTTCCACAGTTCTGTGGGCAGGAGACGTTGCCCTGAGGAGTCTGGTGGGTGGCACAGCTGTGGGTTCCCTCTGTGCAGACCCTGAGACAGGCACACAGTGCCCCCTGCTGCTCACTGGTTACACTGCAGTCTCTCAGTGGGAATCGTGAGTGGAGTCACCTGAGAGCCAGGTCCCCGTCAGTCCACAGCATCCATGGGTCACATACTCACTCTGTCCTGTGTTACTGATATTAATAAAGAGATTTTCCATAAGGACTTCTGAGTTACTAGAAGAAGGGCATGTAAGGAATACGAGGACCACCCAATGTGAGGAAGCTGCAGTGAGGGGAGAATGCAGAAGGCTCTGGGAGCAGAGGCCTGAGCAGCTCCTTCCACAGGGAATGGATTGGTTCATTATCTGGGGTTGTAAACAGGAGACAGGATGGATGAAACAGATGCTTTAGAAAGACATCTTTGGTGTCACTTTCAACAAAGATCCTGAAGGCAGCAGAGCAGGTGAGGATGTGTCAGGGGGGCTGAGGGCTGGTCCCTGGGAGCTGGAGGAGGCTCAGGAAGAAGAACCCACGGGTGACTTGACACAAAGTGAGGGAGGGGTGGGGGTGAGCCTGATGGCTGCAGTTGGATTGATTGGGTGTTTTTTGTCTTCATTTGCTGTTATTGCAGGATGAGAGAGAGAGAGGGAGAGACAGAGCAATATGAAGAGAAGCAAATTTGTTTTATATTCTTTTTGTAAAATCAGGGTTTGAAGGACACAGACACATTTTAGTCCACTTTGTGCTACTACAATAAAATCCACAGACTGGGTAGTTAATAGAGAACAGATATTCATTTTCTCACTGTTTTTGTTTCATTTTGTTGACGGAGTCTTGCTCTGTCACCAGAATGGAGTGCAGTGGCATGATCTTGGCTCACTGCAACCTCCACCTTCCAGGTTCTAGCGATTCTCCTGATTCAGCCTCCCGAGCAGCTGGGACTACAGGCACCCGCCACCATGCCCGGATAATTTTTTGTATTATTTTTTATTGGTTTGTTTGTTTGTGTGTGTGTGTGTGTGTGTGTGTGTGTATATATATATATATATATATGAAAGCAAGAGCTGCTGAGGTAGGGTTACATGGAGCCAAAAATGAAAACTGAGGTTCAGAGAGTATGTGATTGCTTCAATAGGCCCAGAGTAATGATGAGATATCCCCAGTGCTGATGTGACAAAATCTTGCCATTCTACTCATAGTGTTGCTTCTTCCAGGGCAGTGGATATAGGAGTCTCTTCTGGGAGCTGAACCTTTGCAGGAGGCTGGACCAGCAGGGAGAGATGCAGAGAACAGTGGGCACAGAACAGGGTCCACTGATTGCAAAAGCAAGAATGGAATGAGAAGTATGAGCAATGGATCATTATACTAGTTGAACTGAAATAAGATATTGTCAGAACTATTTGTCCAAGGAAAATCCAGTGTTCACAACAGAAGTTACATCCTGAGCTAGATTTGTCAGAGCCACCAGCCGGGATGACTGCCCCAGGCCTAGAGAGCAGAGGGAAGATTTGTGTCTCACTTTCCCATGCGCCTGGAGCACTGGGTAAGCCTCAGAGCTGCTGTCAAATCCACTGCTCCTGTGCAGACCCTGAAACAGACCCATTCTCAGGCTGTAGCACAGTGATGTGCAAAATCCTTGCAAAGGCCGACACATCTTTAGATCCCAAGATGTGGCTGGGAGCCCCAGAGCCCTGTTTCTTACTTGAGTCCAAGTAGAATTTCAAGAGATATTAGAGAGGGTTCCCCGGAACCAGTCACTGATTTCTTGTGATGGAATCACTAATTCATTGTGGTGATTATCCAAGGGTGTGTAAATATCTTAAAACACACAAAATTGGCCACTTTAAATATCGGAGGTTTATTTTATGTTAATTATTCCTCAATAAAAAGACACATAAAAAATAGGCTGAAACAGGCTGGTCACAGTGGCTCATGCCTGTAATCCCAGCACTTTGGGAGACAGAGGCAGGCAGATCACGAGGTCAGGAGATCGAGACCATCCTGGCCAACATGGTGAAACCCCATCTCTAATAAAAATACAAAAAGTTAGCCGGGCGTGGTGGCAGGTGCCTGTAGTACCAGCTACTCGGGAGGCTGAGGCAGGAGAATGGTGTGAACGTGGTAGGCGGAGCTTGTAGTGAGCTGAGATCATGCCACTGCACTCCAGCCTGGGCGACAGAGTGAGAAAAAAAAAAAAGAAAGAAAAGAACAAAGAAAAAAAAATAGGCTGAAATAAAAAGAACAGGAATACACACTGAGGACCAGTGAGAGGAAGACATTGCTTTGAAAACTCCTGGAAATAGCGAAAGGATGATGGAGATGCGGGTTCCCCATCAGACGTAGATCTGAGATTTCACTGCTGGATTTGTCACTCCAGTCCCTGGACTTTAGAGCAGAGACCCTGTGTCCCAAGTTGCAGGGTACAGGACATTCTGTTTTCTGGAGGCCCTTTTCCTAGAAAGGGGCTGCTGTGGGTGACTCTGAGGACAGAGGGGAGGAGAAGCATCTATTCCCAGGTGGGGCCCTTGATGCCCCTGGGCCCACCGGGGAAGCAACAGCAGCAAAAGCCACAGGCCAGGCCTGTGCAGTAGCTGCTAGGCACTCACTCATCTGGGAGAGGAGGAAGGGGGTTCTTCTCTCACTTCCCTGCAAGCCTGGAGCACTGTACAAGCACTCACGCTGCTGCCGTGGAACTAGCAGTAATACTCAGTCTCGTCCTCAGCCCAGAGGCCAGTGGTGGCCAGGGAGGCCGAGTTGCCGGACTTGGAGCCAGAGAATTGGCCAGATGCCCAGGAGGCCCAGTT